ATGGCGAGTTCCAGTTTTACGTGAATGACCACCGAACCAACATGCATGGACCCCACCCCCACCGTAGCAAAGGTGTCGCCACGTTTTTCCACTCGTCGATGCCCGGGTTCGCATCGCTCAAAGCACTCTGGTCACTGCGCGTCCCCGACCGATACCTCGTTGTTCGAACGGAGTGGGATTCCACCCCTGTCTACTTCCACAACGTATATGCACCAGTTGAATCGGCCGATCGTGCAGGGTTTTTTGCCTCTCTTCCACGCGACTTCGAGCCGACTAGTCGGCACTTTGTCGGTGGCGATTTTAACCTCCCCATGGACGCTGCTTTGGACACGACAGCATTCCACCCAAACCATCACGTCGGCAAAGATGAATGCTGCGAATGGCTGTCAGCGCTCCGTGTTGTCGACGCTTGGCGCACCAAAGAACCCAACCGAAAAGTCCTTACGGGCCCGCGTGGACGAAACCGGCTCGACTACGTTTTCGCCGACGTGGAAATGGTCGCTCACTTTCATGTGTCGTCGACATTCGATCGGAGCCAGTATAACGGTGACCACATGACCCATACCACAACGTTTGCTGCTGCGAGGACGAATGGACCCCCCACTACCTCCTTACTCATGGAAGCCTCGAAGACCTCTGGACGGACACAGTGACATCCACGACCGGCTAAGTTTGTGGCTAGACACTCCATCCACGCCCTAGGCCTCGACTTTACGTCAGTGGTACGATCATCGTCACTGGACGAGTACCACTCTGACGATGTTAGTGACGCTACGGTACTGCTGAACCACGAGTCTGAGTGCATTCTCGCCCTTGCCGAGATTCTGCTTGTATCCCTCGCTCCATGCTACTATGCCCATGATGTGGCGCCCAATGCTGCTACCTCTGGTCCTGTATTTGCCCTCCCTGCACGTAGCGGGGATCGTTATCTCGCATCATCAACCCTTTGCACCGTCCTCCTACCACTCGACCCTCGGCACGCCAATTCGCAAGGCCTTGTGTGACTTGCTGCAGCGAGCACGCGCGACACTAACCGATCGGGGCTCGGCTGACAGTGAAGACAGTGCTGTAGCCTCAACTCTCGCTGACTGGGTGAGCAACGTCGACATTATGGTTGCACTTGACCAGGCATTCGCCTTGCCGATTACTCCATCCTGCCAGGTCATGTTCGACTCATCCACAATGTCCCTTACTCACGGAAGCCTCGAAGACCTATGGACGGACACAGTGACACCCACGACCGGCTAAGCTTGCGGCTAGACCAACCCTCGGAGGTACCTCACATGTCTCCATTACCACTTGCAACCTCA